TTTGAGTCCTGGACCTGGTGGCTTGCTTTCTCACTTTCCCTCTCTCTCTCACTCTATCCCTCTCTAGTCAAATTAGAAATAAATAGATAAATAAAGTTCAATAAAACAATTATTAAAAAGTTGACTGTAATAAATAGTATAGAATAGAACTGAAAATATAAAAGTGCGTTATATGTAGTGAAGTGGAGATTGTTTTGTGAAGATTATTTTTTGTTTGTTTGTGTGAGTGTGGTTTTACTGACTTGCTGTGTAAATTTTATATTTTACTATGAGTCGCAGTAAAAAATGTTGAAAAGCTGACTTTCCTTATTCAACAGGACTAAATTGCAATTTCTTCTCTTCCTTTCTTCCTTTCTTCCTTCCTTCCTTCTTTCTTTCTTTTTTTTTCTTTTTTTTTAGAGTTTTTTTGCTATAGGGCGCGTGTGCTCGCCAGACAGACAGAGAGAGACAGAGAGATAAAAAGTGAGAAATCACCCCCCAGAGGGGATGGTCACGCCATAATCCCTTCTCCTCCATTCTCCTCTCGGGATCTTGGGCACGCACGCACACGCGCCTGGTGTGAATTTCAGCCACCGGGTCCAGGACTCGAACTGCAGTCGACTACATGGAAATCCAGTGCCATAGCCATTAAGCCAACTGCTGGTGCCCTAAATTGCAATTTCTTCTCTTCCTTTCTTCCTTCCTTCCTTCTTTCTTTCTTTTTTTTTCTTTTTTTTTAGAGTTTTTTTGCTATAGGGCGCGTGTGCTCGCCAGACAGACAGAGAGAGACAGAGAGATAAAAAGTGAGAAATCACCCCCCAGAGGGGATGGTCACGCCATAATCCCTTCTCCTCCATTCTCCTCTCGGGATCTTGGGCACGCACGCACACGCGCCTGGTGTGAATTTCAGCCACCGGGTCCAGGACTCGAACTGCAGTCGACTACATGGAAATCCAGTGACATAGCCATTAAGCCAACTGCTGGTGCCCTAAATTGCAATTTCTCTCTCTTCTCTTGCAAGGGAGTGACTCCGGTTGTGGGGTAGTCTAGGGAGAAGAAAAAAAGAGGGCATTTGAAGCTCAAAATAATAAGCCCGTTAGCGAGTCTCTGGGGATCACTGAAGTTGAGAGTTTTATCTGGATGGTTTTGTTTTGTTTTTGCTGTGCACTCACTGGACAGAGAAGGGGAGGGAGAGAGAGAGAGAGAGAGAGAGAGAGAGAGCCTCCCAGGTTGAGCAACCATGCTGCAATCCCTTCTCCTCCACTCTCCTCCTGGGATTTTTGGGTACACATGCCCATGTGTGTGGCATGTTTTTCAAGCCTGCCAGGTCCAGGACTCAAACCACCTAGCTGGCCATGTGTGATCTAGCTGCCTCAACCACCACATTACCAGCTAGCCGTGGAAGATCCGGGCTTCTAGATGAGATGTTTCATTACAAGGCTGCTTCAGATCAAGAGCTCCCAGAAGCTGTGCATCGCCTTTAGCCAATTTTAGCTAATATTAATGAACTAATAGTGGATTGTTGGAAAAGTCATGACACAATTTTGCACAGAAAAATGTAGAGAAAGCACGTCATGACTTTTCCGACAATCTAGTATTTTTATGTAACCAGAAAATATCCCCCTTGAAGTGTATACATGACATGGCTGTATTGTGTTGGGATTTACAGGAACACATATGTGAAACAGCTGCATCTGAGGGCGTGGCCGGAAGTGGGAGCACAACGGGCGGGTGTTTTTCATCCTCAGTAGATTAGTTCCTTTTGACTCACCATCAGATGGCTCTTGGGAGGAGGGAGAAGGGCCGGGGCGGTTACCGTCGCTGCAGAGCCACCATCTGGGGACTCAGGACCTCGGAATGCAGCAGGTTTCCCCCAGGCCACCTCATCACTGATGGCTGGCCTCTGTGACCCAGAGCCCCAGAGAGCTCGCAAGCTGACCGGAAATGTCCGTGTCACCCCTGCAGTTTCTCTCTGTGACCTTCTGTCATTCCCTACCCTGGGAAAATGCTGATCAATGATCAACTACTCAACTTACGGTCCTGGTTTCCCTTCCCTCCTGGGCTTCCAGGGGTCGGCTCTGAAGTGAACACAAAGGGTGACCATGGCCCACGAAGCCACGGCAGGACGGCTGAGTGGGCAGCATGGCCAGCTTCCCAGTGTGGGGCAGACGGCTGCTGCTAGCAGGTGGCTGAGCACCGGGCAGGGGCACTGGCTTACGTGGGTGCCGCGTTTGAAAACATTCATTTTTTTTTTTTCTCAGTTTTGCGTAGGGTACATGCTTTTGCTCCAACCAGGGATTGCCAGGCTGTGACATTCGTGGCATCTGGAAGGGGTTTGGGGACCCAGACCCTGTCACTCACCTTTCCCCTCTACCTCATACCAGCTGTGGAGAAGGCAAGTGCTTCTTTTGTTTCTTTTTTTCTATTTTTCTTCCTTTCTTTCTTTTCTTTTTCTTTCATTTTTTCTTCCTTCCTTCCTCTTTCTTTCTTTCTTTCTTTCTTTCTCTGTCCATCTCTCACTCTTTCTTTTTGGAGAGGTTTTGCTATAGGGTGCGTGCACTCGCCAGAAAGACAGAGAGAGACAGAGAGATAGCGAGAAATCACCCCCCAGGGGGCATGGCCATGCCACAATCCCTTCTCCTCCATTCTCCTCTTGGGATCTTGGACACACACGCACATGTGCCCAGCGTGAGTCTAAGCCACCAGGTCCAGGACTCGAACTGCAGTCAACTACATGGGAGTCCAGCAACATAGTCATTACGCCAACTGCTGGTCCCTCTTTCTTTCTCTCTTTTTCCTTTCTTCTTTTCCTTATTCTCCTTCCTTCCATCTTTCCTTCCTTCCTCTCTCTCTCTCTCTTTTTTTCTTTTAAGAAATTTTTACCCTAGGATGTGTGTGCTCGCTGGGGAGAGAGAGAGATGGGCAGAGACAGTGAGAAGGAAAGTGAGAAATCACCCCTCGGGAGGGGGTGGCCATGCTGCAATCCCTTCTCCTCCATTCTCTTCCCGGAATCTTGGATACGCATGCAGTTTCAATTAGCAATAATCACGCCTCGGATAAACCTCATTGGCTACGATACTGCCACTGCACAAAGCTTACGCATGCAGTTTCAAGTCACTGGATCCAAGACTCAAACCGTGGCTGGCCATGTGGGAGTCCAGCAACATAACCACTACGCCATCTGCTGGTCCCAGCAAGTGCTTCTTTTAACCTGCACACTAGCTGACTGTCCAAATGGATACACTTTGGGGACCAGCAGTTAATGTAATGACTATGTCGCTGGACTCCCATGTAGTCGACCGTGGTTCGAGTCCTGGACCTGGTGGCTTAAAACTCACGCTGGGCACGTGTGCGTGAGTGCCCAAGATCCTGAGAGGAGAATGGAGGAGAAGGGATTGCGGCGTGGCCATCCCCCCTGGTGGGTGATTTCTCGCTTTCTGTCTCTCTGTCTTTCTCTGTCTGGTGAGCGCATGCGCCCTATGGCAAAAACACCTCTCCAAAACAAAAACAAAAACAAAAACAAAAACAAAAACAAAAACAAAAACAAAAACAAATGGGTACACTTTGGAGTATGAAAGGGGATGTTATTAATAATTATGCCAGAAGAATAGGCAGGAGCTTAAATGTGTGGCCCCTTGCCGTAACCGCCAATATTCCAATATTGGGTCGTCAGAACAGTCATGATGTATTTTTCTATGCAAAAATGCACAGTCTTTTCCAACGATGCACTAAATTCTCTAAGAGCTAAATTTAAGGATGTATCTTAGATCCGAAGCGAAAGTATGACCCCTGACCCTCACCCCAAATCTAAACACTGGGGGTCACAGGTTGTGGAGCTCTGGCAGGCCCACAGAGCAGACTTGGGTGTCCCTCCTTTTGCGTGAGCACCATGTGGCCGAGGCCTGCCGGTAAGGATGGTGGTGCTCCTGTGGGTGAGACTGGGGGACGCTCAGGTGTGTGAACCAGGAGATGTGTTGAGGGGAGCCTTCCTGGCCAGAGCTCAGGCAGTGAGCGGGAAAGTGGTGAGTGGGCAAGAGGCCATGCTACACCCCCGCAGGAGAGTCCCCGATGTCATACTCCAGACTGCAGTATTAGCCATGGGGAGGGGGTGAGGGCCTGCTTAGGGAGAGCAGACGTCCCAGTGTCCCGGGAGGCAGCTGCCGCCCGCCCGTGGGAGTTCTCTCTCCCCTCCCCCTGCCGCATGTGCAAGCCCCTTAAAGTCTCTTCTTCCGCCCCCGGGCAAAGTTGGCCTCAGAAACCAAGCTTCCCGCTCAGGCACCACAGGTGAGGCATGAGGCCAGAAACCCCATTTCCACACAATCCACAAACTGAAAATGGGGCAAAGAAATGCATCCGACTGCTCGCAGCGGCCACTTTGACTGTAGGCCCGGGAAAGTCAAGCCAGTTATATTTTTCAGTGCATTCTAAGTCTTTAAAAATGAGCAATCTGGACCTGGCTAGTGGCATGGTGGTTAAGGTGCTGGATCCCACATGGCTGATTGCATGGTTCGAGTCCCAGATCTGGTGGCCTGCCAGTCATGCCAGGTGCATGTGTGTGCATGCCCCAAATCCAGGGAGAATGGAGGAGAAGGGATTGTAGCATGGCCATCCCCCTGAGGGGTGATTTCTCACTTTCCTCTCTGCCTCTCTCTGCTAAGTGCTTGTGCCCTATGACAAAACAAACAAACAAACAAACAAACAAAAAACCTTTTATTTTTTTTTTGGAGAAGTTTTTGCTATAGGGCGCGTGCGCTTGCCAGAGAGACAGAGAGAGACAGAGGGACAGAAAGCGAGAAATCACCCCCTAGGGGGTATGGCTATGTTGTAATCCCTTCTCCTCCATTCTCCTCTCAGGATCTTGGGCACGCACACACGCGCCCGGCTTGAATTTAAGCCACCAGGTCCGGGATGCAAACCACAGTCGACTACATGGGAGTCCAGCGACATAGCCATTATGCTAACTACTGGTCCCAACGAACTTTCTATTTTTATCGGAAAACATTAAAAGAAATTTCTCCACTCTGACCTTCTGATGAAGACAAGTTCTTTGGTTCCTTAGCTTACAAAGGCTGTCGTCAGCCTGGCCTCAGGGTGTAGCTGGTAGCTGTACTGAGCTGCAGTGCTGGAAGCTGCCCAGTTGAGCACGGTTCAGGGGAGGTGGGCAGGGGGAAGGGGTTTCCTGGAGCTATTGCATGGCTTAGGGCTTCCGTCACCCCTAACTTCTGGCAGCAGAGACTGACCGTCAGCTCCAGGGAAAAGTCCAGCGACTGGAAAATGGAGGAGAAAATTGAGAAGCTGTTACCAGAGCAGGGCAGAAGACGAGGTTGGGCAAGCAATGTCCTCCTATCACTGGCAGGGACACCTCAGCTTCCTGCCTCACCTCCAGAGGTGGGGGCCAGGGTAGGGTTTGGGGGACAGACCTCAGGGCTTGCCTTGTGTACTACGAGCTCCGGCCCAGTGAGGGATTCCCTTATATTTCTTATTAAAAAATTATTTATTTATTTATTTTTATTGTTGTTGTTTTGTTGTCAGTCACCTGAGGTAGAGAGAGAGAAAGGGAAAGTGAGGCAGGGGATGGCCACACTACAGTCCCTTCTCCCCAATTCTCCTCTTGGGACCCTAGGTACGCACGCACACACGCTCAGTGTGATTTTCAAGCTGCTGATTCTGGACTCAACCATCCCGCGACTGGCCATGCGGGATCTAGCACCTTAACCTCCATGCCACCTCCTGGCCCAAGCTCTTGTTTTGTTTCTCCCACATGTCCGGGAGCCCCTGAGCTCATGCCCTGCAGTGGGCATGCTGCCAGACTATGGGGACACCCTCTGTTCAGCGCTGGCTGACCGGTGCCGTCGGGGTCATGGGGCTCTGTCAAAGCTGTGGGTGCCAGCTCCTACGAGTGCCGGGTACCTGGGCTGCTTCTGGCCATGAGCCTGAGCAGCTTCAGCGTGTGTTGGAGTGGGAGTGGGGAAAAGACTGCAGAAGGGTGGATGGGGGTAGTGGTAGCCACCGGGAGGGTCCCAGTGGGGGTCTCTGAAGGAGAGAAGCTTGAGCTGAAGCTCGAAGGAGGGGACAGCATCAGTCAGATGGGCTATAGGACATTCTAGATCCGGGTGAGGACGGAGAAGTAGGAACGGAAGTGCAGAGGTGGCGTGAGTGTGGCCAGGTGGCAGGGGACTGGCCTGACAGCAGCACACGCGTGTGTGTTGTGGTTGCATGGGGAGAGCCAGGGATGGCCAGACCTAGGCACTCCGAGGCTTGGGCCCTGGAGGGCTCGAGACAAGCCCAGGGATGGAGAGTCCTCCTGGAGTGTCACCACAGGCTGGCAGGGCCCCTGCCTGGCAGGCGGGAGGCTGCAGCCCAGGCTGTGTTGTCGCAGAGGGCAGCGATGGACGGTGCTCGGTCGCTCCTGGGTTTGTGGTCTGTTCTGCTTTTCGGCGCCGACATCTTCTGGAGGCACCCGGCCCCATGCTGCAATCACATCCTATGTATTTCATTAGATGGTTTAATAAGCTGGGGGTAGGGCAGAGGCTGGCAGGGAGAGACGGAATTAAAACCACATCCTGGAGTAATGTGATTTCCGCAGGGCCGTACCAACTCCCTTTCCCGCTCCCAGGCCCTGCGCCTCCCTCTCACGGAGAGAAATACACCTCTGCCTGCCCACGGGAGTCATCAGGAAGATCCAGGTCAGGTTCCCTACAGAATCCCGTTGGCATAGACCCGTCCCACAGTGGGGGATCTGCGAAGGGAGTCAAGTGCCCGTGGACAGCATGGTGGGGTGACAGGCTGCTCCCAGCAGAGCGAGCCGGGCTGGAAGGAGAGATGGGAGGTGGGGAGGTGGGCTGGAAGGAGGCTCTGAGGGAGGAGGCCTCTAGGAGATCTTCCTGGAAACCAGGGAGCGGGCCTGAACTGTTGGGAGGCGGTCTGCACAGGCCTGGCTGACTCAGAAAAAAGCCAGATCCCGGTTCTCCAGGTCATTGTGACTCTAGATCGAATTCTGACATCTCAGCTGTCCCCTGGGACTTGCTTTGCTGGGTCCTGTCAGGGAGGAGCACTATGGCTACTTCCTGTCGGGTTAGACGGCTGCCCTGCCCAGCCCTGAACCAGAGGATCGCCCCCATTTCCCTAAACACAGCTGAGTCACGGCTGGGGGGGTTTACAAAAAAATGTTCAAATTGTTCAAAGCTCAGGGGTGATGGCGTGGAAGTGAACACAGACAGTGACAGGAAACCGACTGGCCCGCGAGCCAGGTACATGGAGGCTTTCTCTTCCTAACGCCCCTCCCTCCGGCCTAGGACGCTGGCCCTGGCCCCTGGGCCTCCACACTGTGACAGAGGACACCTTTCTCCACCTCTCCTGCCCCTGGGACACGGCTTTACCTTGGGGCTCCCAAAGGACAGGTCCTCAGTCCTCAGATGACATTAGAGAAGCCGGTAGAAGGGAAGTACCTGGGCAGTGACAGGGCTTATCTGGGACCCCCAAGCTGTTTTCCTGCATTTTGGGGAGCTCACTCTTGCTGGCTCCAGCAGCAGCCTGAGGTCACAAGGCCTTCTGTTAGGACAGCCCGAGGGTGTGTGTGCTTGCCAGAGAGAGGGGGGAGGGAGGGAGAGAACGAACCCCGCCAAAGGGGTGTGGTCACGCTGGAATCCCTTCTTCATGTCACCTTTTGGGGTTTTGGCCTGGTGTGTTTTTCCAGGCAGGGTTCGTACATGTTTGGCCATGTGGGATCCAGCTTCCTTAACCACTAGGCTGTAGGGCTGCCCCGCAATGACTGTTTTCAAAGTTGCTCAGCAGGTCCAGGATGAAGACTTCCTTCCCCTCCCCAGCCCGTTGCCCAGCCCCCACTCCCCGCTTGTCCCTCCTTTCCCCTCGGCTAGAAGTGGAGTGGGCCGCAGGGCCGATGGGGGACTGGAGAGAGGCGTGTGGTCTTCCTCCTGGGCTTCTCAGAGGCCGCCTCTGGCTCTGGGTCTCCCACGAGCTGAGAAATAGGGGCTGTGGCATGGGCCTCATTCGTGTGAGCGTTTTCCTTATTTCCTCCCATGCAGCTCCTGCCCGTGGGAAGCTCCGTGCAGGCTCGTGGGGGAGGCAGCTGAGCGGGAGAGGCTGGCACCCCCTCATCAGGAAACTTCCATCCAGCAGGGAAGGCAGATGGATCCCAGGACACAGGCAATAGGTTGTGATTCGGTCTCTCCTCCTGCACTAAGTGCACTCAGCCTAATTGAATTTTGAAACCAGAGATGGTGTTCCAGGGAGGTTAATAAAAACAGGAACGACTTTTGCCGTGGCAAACAGCAGAGAGAGTGCTCATTTGACTGCTTACTAGTTCTACTCTGGACGGAGAAGGTCCCAGATGGTCACGAGATCGATTCTGGGACATTTTGTCCCTGCCTTGAAGACTTGAACTTGCGCTTTCCCCATTCAGGGCAGGGGGTGGCGGGACCAGAAAGCTGGGCTGGGAGCTGTGGGAGCTGGAGCTACCGCAGGGTTTCCTGAGACTCCACTTGAGGGAGACAGGGAAGAGGGGGCTGGTGGACTGAGGGGCTGGGATTGAGCAGGAGCCTGAGGATGAGAAAGAGCTCAAGGTATCAAGGTAGAGGAGGAGGGTGGGCCGGCTGCAGGAGCAAGGAGGGGCGTCGCACTCCAAGTCCCAGGAGGGCACTGCTGCTGGGGCAGCTACAGGGAGCCTTGGCCCTGCGGCTCCAGCGAAACCCAATGCCACGCCCGCGACTCCCTCAGGCACCAGCGGCCTCTCTCATGGTCTGATGCCTGCTCCATGGCCCTCTGCTCTCTCAAGACTTCTGCCCGTCGTGACTTCCCTGGCCTTCTTCCCACCCGTCCCCGAGGCCTGGGAAGTAACTTCTGTTGTCCCACAGAGACACGGGTGACGTGGTGTGCTCCAAGCCCAGCACGTGGCCCCAGAGCTGAGTTCTGAAACACGATGGCCGATGGCCCCGAACCGCATCTCGGTGGGGTGCTGCCCATGTGGCTCCTGTCCCCACCGCCAGCAGACCGGCCGAGCCTGTGGGTCTGTGTCCATCCATTCGGCTTTTCTCCAGGACCACTGGGGCCTCTGCCGGTGCCTGGCCATGCTGGGGGTGTGCTCAGTGACTCGCCCTTCCCTGGGAGTCCTGAATTAGCTCATATGCCATGGTGTGTAACGAAAGAAAGGCTTTGCTGGGGTTATGATTCATGTATTTGCCATAGGGCATGTGCGCTCACCAAAGAGACAGAGAGACAGAGACATCACCCCAGAGAGGGTGGCCACACCACAATCCCCCTCCTCCATTCTCCTCTGGACACACACGCACAGGTGCCCAGCGAGATTTTTCAAGTGCCCAGTGTGATTTTGAAGCCCCTGGGTCCAGGATTCAGACCACACAGTGGGCTGTGTAGGAGTCCAGCTCCTTAACCGCCCTGCCACCTGCTGGCTTAGGAGCTCTCTCTCTCTTTCTCTCTCTCTTATTTTTTCCCTAATTATTTTGACTTTATTTATTTATTATTTATTTATTTATTTTAATTTGACCAGAGAGGAACAGAGTGAGAGAGGGTGTGGGAGAGAGAGAGAGAGAGAGAGAGAGAAAGCCGTCAGGTCTGAAACTTGAACCAAAGTTGCCCGTGTGGGAATCCAGTGCCCTAACCACGGCGTCACCTGCCGGCCCCAGGATCTCTTTTTCATTTATTTCTTCCACGAGGGAATGAGTGAGACAGAGAGATACAGAAAGATAAGAGACAGCTCAAGACCCCTGCTCTCATCACTATCCTCTCCCACCAGGTAGACCTCAGGGCGCAGCACCAGGAGGCTGGGCCAGAGGTAGGGAGGTGGTGGAGGGCGTGCAGTGGTCCCGGGGAGGGGTTCGAGTCCTTCACGTGGCAGTTCGCACGGAGCACCTGCCACGCTGCAGCGCTTCTTCCAGGAGATGAGACGGCCTTGGGGCTGCCGCCTGGTGTGGGAGTCCTGCCTATTAAAACCATCACCGCAGCTGCCAGGTGCTATGCTACGATGCTTTATGAGAATTTTCTTCCTTTCTCTCTCTTCTTTTTATTTTTTTTATTATTATTTTTTTGATTTTTGCTATAGGTGCATGTGCTCACCAGAGAGGCAGAGAGAGATAAAGTGAGAAATCCTCCTCCGGGGAGATGGCTATGCTGCACTCCCTTCTCCGTTCTCCTCCTGGGATTTTGGGCATGTACGCACACGTACCCGGTGTGAGTTTCAAGCTGCTGAGTCCGGGACTCAAACTGTGGTTAGCCATGTGGGAGTCTAGCAGCTTAACCCCCTCCACCTGCTGGTCTCTATGTGGATTTTCTTATTTCATCTCTGAAATAACCTTATGAAGGAGGCCCTATTAAACATCCCGCGTTACGGGCCAGCAGTGGCATGGTGCTCAAGGCGGTTGGATCCCCTATGGCTGACCATGTGGTTTGAGTCCCAGGCCCAGTGGCTTAAGAAAGTGGCTCGGCACGTGCATGTACGTGCCCAAAATCCTGAGAGGAGGGAGATGTGGAGGAGAAGGGACTGTTGCTTGACCACTTCCCACGGAAGTGCTAGCTCAGTGTCTCTCTCACGGTATCTCTCTCCGGAGAGTGCAATCACCCTATAGCAAGTTTTTTAAAATCCCATTTTACATGTGAGAAACTGAGATTTAGAGAAGTCAAGTAAGTTACTCAGGGTCCTTGAGCTGGTCAGTGAAGGGGTCAGGGTTTGAAGGCCCTACTCAACTACAGGCCACCAGCTGGAGGGGCGAGTACAGGGTGGGGAGCTCATAACCTTAGGGGCTTGGGACCAGTAGATGGCGTAAGGGTTATATCACTGGACTCCACATAGTGAACTGTGGTTCAAGTCCCGGACCTGGTGACTTAAAACTCAGTCTGGGCCTGTGTGCATGCGTGCCCAAAATCCTAAGAGCAGAATGGAGGAGAAGGGATCACAGCGTGGCCATCCCCCCCGGAGGGGTGATTTCTTGCTTTCTGTCTCTCCGGTGCGCTCACGCACACTATAGTAAAAATCTCTCTCTGCAAGAAAACAAAACAGAACCAAACAAACCTGGGGTTCAAGGAAACGTTCCGGAGGGAGACAACCAAACTGCTGTTTCTCCAGGAGGCGTGGAGGGGTTATGGGATGGGCATGCTCCAGGGGGCGCATGTACAAAGGCCCGGGGCCTTGTCTGTGTCCCAGCTGCTGGTGCCAGGTGAGGAGACACTCGGGCTGGCTCACGACGCGGGGGGACACGCTGCTCATGAGAAACCAGATCCCACATGGCAGCCACAGTTCAAACCCCTGGCCTGGTCTACCTGGCACACACTGGCACACTGGGCATGCGTGTGAGTGTCGGGACCCTCGGGCTGCAGGGCTGGAGGCGGGGGTCGCAGCATGACCAGCCCCTGCAGAGGCGTGTCCCCCTTCATCTCATGCACATGTGTGCACTCTAGGAGGGCGGAAAAACACTTTTTTTTTTTTTTTTTTTAAATATATCGGGTATCTCTCCAGGGTTTGCATTTGGGAAAAGCATACACAAATATATGTTCTTACCATTCCTCCTGCCCGCCCCCCACACACAGCCTTTGTACACAAAACAGCATCCTATTCCCTTGGTTCTGAGCTGTGCTTTTTTCACCTAAATTCGCATGCTCCTTGACATATGATGGGGTTCAGTGGTATTAAGTACATTATTGAGCCACCATTAACCACCAACTAACTCCAAAATTTTTTTAAGAGAGTTTTTTGCTTTAGGGCATGTGCGCTTGCCAGAGAGACAGAAAGCAAGAAATCACCCTCCAGGGGGATGGCCACGCCACAGTTCCTTCTCTATTCTCCTCTCAGGATTTGGGGCATGCACAAACATGTGCCCAGCATGAGTTTCAAGCTGCCAGGTCCAGGATTTGAACCACAGTTGACCACGTGGGAATCCAGTGCCCTAACCACTATGCCACCTGCTGGCCCCTATCTCCAGAATTTTGATCTTGCAAATCTGAAACTCCGTATCCATTAAATACTAACTCTCCATTCTCCCTTCCCATTCTATATATATCTTTTTATTAAAAAAAAAAAGTATGTATAATACCTAGTCAAAATTTTTTATTGACAAGAAATGGTGGAGTGGGACCAGTTAGCATAATGGCTATGTCACTGGACTCCCATGTAGCTGACCGCGGTTTGCGTCCCAGACCCGGTGGCTTAAAACTCATGCTGGGCACGTGTGCATGCGTGCCCAAGATCCCAAGAGGAAAACGGAGGAGAAGGGATTGCAGCGTGGCCATCCCCCCGGGAGGTGATTTCTCGCTTTCTCTCTCTCTGTCTCTGTCTGTCTGTCTGGC